ACAACTAGTAATGAACCGATCCAACTTTTTCAATTGATACCGATACTGATACCACTTTTGATACTTCAATATCGGCTGTTACCCAATATTGACTGATACCAGTGAAGGGGCTGAAAATGGCACTTTTTAAAAAACACAATTAACTCACTACACAAAAGATCCAAATGTGTTATGTAACTGTTACTTATCCTTCGCATTACTACTATTACTACAATTACTACTACTATATAGTATTACTTTTACTACTAACAGCTTTGTATGAATAAAAGTTGAAACATTATGAGACAAAATCAGCCTGTAAGTAGTCTTATTACATCCAATTAAAGGCCCCACCAGAATAATCGATATCATGGAACTGTGGATACCTGATCTAGTGACATTTTAAGTATTGGTGCTGATATACAAGTAATAAGTAATAGTAAGTATCAGTATCGGTGCAGCCCTGAACACAATAGTGACTTGGTGAACAAGGTTCTTCTAATACAGTCTATGTTTTTAGTGAGGAATAAAAAACACTACATAACACATCAGAAAAAAATATGAACTTACCTAACCTTACCTTAGATCAAGTTTAAAAGCAGAATTCTGAATCACCAAACACATTCAACACAAGAACCCCTTTTTGATCTAATATTTGCAGTAAAGTGAAAGTGACTCATCATGTGGCCTGAAAGCCTGTGCAGTCTGAGCTGGATTTGCATGAACTAATGTGGTGCTGTGCTGAAGGTGGGGCTCATGTGGAATAGGGCGGGTCCACAGGGTTTTTCTGTGGAACTGAGGGGGCTGAGGTTTGTCAGAAGAAAGCTCACAGGACTGCGCTGTTTTGAGCTTCTTATCACGTTCCCTCCTCAAAAACAGACCTGGATGTTCATGTGATTCTTGGGAAGGTTTATGGTGTACAGTGGAGCACTTCCAGTATTCCCTGATGACGTCACAAGATGGAACAAAGAGTAGAAGAAGTAGAACTCAGCCTAAATGTTCAGGGTTTGTGTTAAACGTGTGAATGAAACAAAACACAACTCCAGGTGTGTCTGTGATGAGGATGCTACATTAGAACATAGAGCAATTTTCTCTGTTCCACGAGTTCCCCCTCTGATGTGCTCTCATGATCCAAGATGGCTGCAACCATCTGAGCAGGTCCAACATCTGTTTGTCACAAACAATTATCTGAACTAATCTGCCTGGACATTAAATTTTTATCGGATTATTACAATTGCTGAACAGTTTTTACAGCACACCAGGCTATTTTATTATTCCTAGGCCTCTCCACTGGCCCGTTTTGGAAACACTCAGGTCTAGTGGCCTGGCACTGCCAGCCATGACACTGGGAAAAGGACAATCCCCTTTGAACCCGAACAACGGCGGCAATAAAATCACTCATTTAGAAGAACAGATCCAGTGACTATCCAGTGAACTTAAGAAAAAGGATGATATAATTGTTAAACTTATAGATATTGCCACAGGACAACACAAACGCATAGCCTCACTCAACAGCGCCCTCATGGACACAGTGGTGTGGGACCCACAGGCTACTACCAACCCCTCCTGTTCAACCCCGCATTCCCCGCTGCCCCGAGATGACTCCGCTCTATACACGTACAGAAAACGAGAAACCACTGCTCTCCCGTCCTCTCGGTCCATAACTCCCACAAATCAACCGTACAGCGTGCTACATCATCAGCCAGATGAAAGATCTTAAAAGAGGCTGTCTTGAGACGATCCAGTGGTTCTCAAGCTGTTGCCCCGGCTTTGCCGCTCCACTCCTCGCTGCGCGCACACTCTCCGCCCTCGGTGGTATCACGGTCCCAAACCGCGGCACAGCCAATGGCGCCGAAGTCACCGGTGGAGCCACGGCTACAACAAGCTGCTGCCCAACCGGGGATCTTGTCCGAGAATGCGCCTCTGGAGCAGGAGTGCACTGCCGATGGGTCAGTACCTGGCCCGGCCCCTCAATCCGAGGCCCCCATCTCCTGTCAGTCATCTTCGCACGGCGATGATCCACAGCTCACAAACCCACCAACTAATTTTCAGCCACAGCCACTGTTTCCCCCCAAAACAGTTAACAATGGTGTTGAGTTATGGTGTCTGTAACTCAACGTTGGCTGTAACAAAAGCTTGTTACAGCCAACGTTGCATTCGGGTGAAAAAGAGCAGACGAAAGATGAAGTTTAATCACTTACTAATAATAAAGGATTATTCAAACGTGTGAATAACTCGTGCTGTGTTCGTTGCCGTCAGTAAGTCAGACCTGTTCCAGGTGCATGTTGGACTCCGCCAGGGCTGCCCTTTGTCACCGATTCTGTTCATTGCATTTATGGACAGAATTTCTAGATGCAGTCAGGGGCCGGAGGGGGGTCTGGTTTGGGGACGACAGAATATCATCTCTGCTATTTGCAGATGATGTTGTTCTGTTGGCTTCATCAAACCAGGACCTGCAATGTGCACTGGGGCGGTTTGCAGCCGAGTGTGAAGCGGCTGGGATGAGGATCAGCTCTTCTAAGTCTGAGGCCTCCAGGTATGTTTTTGAGTGTTTTGTTTTTTAATTCCTAAACACATTTGAATGTAGTTAGCACTTACAAACTATAATTGCTTGTTTTATTATAGGTTCATTTAGAACACCACTGTGACATTTGAACGTTTGCTGAGATGCTTTCACCTTTTTTACCTAATTTTTGAAAAAAAAAAAAAAAAACCAAAAAAACAAAACTTAAAATTTTGTTTTCAGTGAAATCGATTGCATTTAAAAAGTGTAAAAGTGATAAAGTTATGTCTTCCAAGTCATCTCACGACCTCCAGGTCAGAGCCTCATGACCACAGAGGGTCCTGACCCCACTTTGAGAACCACTGCTGTGTTGAACCAATCTTCTGATGTCCGTGATGATTTTGGATACTGGCACATTGCTCAGTACTTTTGGAAATTTCGGTGGATCAAGATGGTGAAGTACAGTTTCTTACTGATTAAATACAAGCACATTTCATTCATGTGCTGAAAGAGTGTGAAAAAGTGTCATCATTAATGTGAGAGCCTCTCCACAGACGTGACTGGTAACTTGGTTGGGAGGTGAGGCCAGCTTGTTTCAGTGGAGATGCTTCTGCTCTGGTTTAAATCACTGTGTTCATAAACATAGCCTTGAGTCTTGTTTTGGTGTCTGAGTATCAGAGACATGTTTGGCACTGCCTTCATGTATATTTGTATATCTAATAGATCCTATCGGTTTATTCAAATAAAATAGCCTGTTCTTTATTTTCCAGTAACTAAGCAACAGCACTGGATAAATAAAAGTGCAAACATTCTTGGCCCGCTCCTTGAGCACATAAGACAAAAGCAGGTTGAGCAGAGCGTGGACAGAGAAAGAGACTTTAAACACGATTCTTTAATGTATTAAAATGATAAATATACAGTTTACAAAATAATAGTTTAAAAACATATAAATATTCATTGGTTAAAAAATCAAGTAATTTAGCATAACATGTCAAATTTAAAAGAGCTAATTATCAAGAGCTATGCACTGTAAATATAAAATGTAATGTTAAAATGAAATTTCCCTGATTTCTGGCATCATACAGGAAGTGACCAGCAGAGGACAACAGAGTGCAACTGATGAAAGGGCCTGTACCTGAGCTATGTGTTCTTGTTCAAATGAATGCTCTTTACATCATGCATTTGGTAAAAGCTGTTAAATAAGAAAAACTTAAAATATACCTTAGAAAAACTGTCAAACATTAATATATTAAATATAAATATTATAAAAACACCATTTTCTCAGAAGCTACTGACTAGGTCCTTTCTCAGTTCCCAGTCTGCACACATGTGGATCCCACTCAGAGAAGGCTTTGAGGCATTCACAAGTACACACACATGCACACGCGCACACGCACACACGCACACATGCACACACACACTCGCACTCACACTCACACACACACTCTGCTCTCTCAGCTTTTTGGAAATAAAACTCATGTGGGTGCTCATCTCCACCTATGCGCCATTAGTTCTTCCTTTTTTAAGCCAAGGTCATGGTCAGTTCTGTTTATTCTGGTCAAAGGCTTCATATTCAGTGCTGAGTTTTTTGAATCAAAGGAATGCTGGGTATTCTAAGTATTCAGAATACAATAAGCTCCTCTGAGTGACACATTTACACCTATTATTCTTACTGACCCTGCAGCTCTGCTCGCTCCGTGCAGCTGCAGGTGCATTATGTGAAAAATACACAGGGCCGAGTACAGACTAGTGTCCTCACATGTATCCCCGGTAAACCAGGAGGAGCAGGTTCCCATCCAGGGATTTCCAGTGGACTTGCTGAGGAGTAGACTCTGACTTGGAACACGACTTAGAGCACAAAGAATGGTGCTTCTCAGGTCCATGAGCACACGAGTCTGCACAGGCGCAGGGATTGAGAAATGGCCATAGTTCCTAAAAATGATGATAAACTAACTGCTTGACACAATCCCAGACACTTGATTCTCTGTCATGGTGCAATATCACAGAAATGACTAAGTTTGTAACACACTCATGGTACAGGTACAGGCTCTTTTAAAGTGGAACTAAACACTAAACCAACTCTCTTTTTTTGCTACTAAACTGTGCATTTGCATATTTTAATAACATTGTGTACTGCTTTTAGTCATTCTTGGCCATTTTTGTGCAAACTGGGCAAATTTTCTTTTTTCCTTTTTTACAAAAACTGATTGCATTCTGTCTCAACTGGTCACTGCAATTTAAAGTACTATGTGACATCACTCAGACCCGGGGTTTGAAGTGTGGATACATGTTAACACTTGCCACGTTTACATGAGAGATTTAATTCCAAATAAAAATACATTAATTCTTAATAAAAAAAAAATAATAATAATTTTTAAAAGACCATGTAAACACTTAACTCCTAATGAAAATGTTTATTTAGAAATACATTTTAATCCAAAGTAAGATGGTTGTTTATTCTGATGTTAAAGCCGGATTAATTTATTCCTTGATCATGTAAACTTTTATTCTTCTTAAAAATAAGAATATACTTCAGTAGCAGCTGGAGAGTGTGTTTTCTTCCTGTCAACGTAAATACGTTAACGCGCCTCCTGTCCAGTCAGAAGCTCCCAGACGCTGTGTGGAATTAAATAAAGGCCATTTAACGTGTTTTCCATGTAAACCTCAATTTGGAATTAAAATATTCAGATTCAGAACAATTAATTTGGAATTTAAAAACATGTAAACGTGGCCACTGTTCCTTATACCCCCAGACCCCGCCTCTCCTCCCCCCTCACTCTCCTCTTCAGTCCTCCACGTACTGCCCAGTTTAGCAGCTCTATTTGAAATATAGTTATGGAGGAGTTTAGGTTTAGTCCCACTTGAATGTTTTGCATAATGTAGTTTATTCTGTTATTCACTTTACTGATCATTCCAAAAATATAAAAGACACATACAATAAGATTAGATCAAATGGATTCTGAAAAAGTGCAGTAGTGTTGGTCAGGACATGCCGATGCCCACCAGCAGAGCCACCAGGAAGGTCAGGTTCCCCAGGATGAAGAGCCCAGGAACCAGGGGACCGCCCATGATCTGAACACAACAGGTCTACTGTAGGCTCAACATGTCACCAGATTCCACAACAAGAATTAGACTGATTTTGGACCTTACCACTTCTAGTCGATTCGTATCTGTAAAATAAAGAAAATATATATGTATATATTATATTAGCAGAAATGTACTTAGTTACATGACTTTGAGTCGTTTGATGACATCATACTTTAATTTCTTTAATTGAAGTAACAGTAATCCCAAATTAGTGTAGTAGGTTGTTATTTGTTGTTTTTTTGAGTAAAAGTACTTCCTCTTCCCACTGTGAGTAAGTCTAAAGTGACAAAGGCTTTATGTGGACAATATCAAATTATTATTATTATTATGATGATGATGATTATGATGATGATGATGATTATTATTATTATTATTGTTATTATGCAATTTTTAGGTCTATTCTTTGGATGTATTGGAACCTGTGCATCATGTTGAGTTTGTCCAGTTGCATTAACTCCCAAATCATTTATCAGATTTAAAATACATTTTATGTTCAAACTGTGAGACGCAGCTTCTCATAGTTGTGTAATGTGTACTGCTGAGTTTCACTCTCTTCAGTGTTAAACTGAGAGTGGTGCTATGATATGTCCTGCATGTTAATGTGCATACTTTGTGGTGTGGTATATCATGTGGACTGGCCTTTTGAATAACTTTTATAAAATTACCTCAAGAAATCATTTCATATAGAATATTGGCTGGAGTGTGATTGACAGTTTAACACACAAGAAGTGAAAGTGGACGTTGGGGTTATTATTAGCCCAATTATTAACTATACTATTACTTTTGTACTTAAACACAATTATACTAGACTTAATCCATAGCATACAAACAAGTACACTTTGCTTTGATATAAAAAATTTAATTTCAATCCTTTATCTTTAATCAAACCCAATTCTAACTGATCCAGTGCTCATTTTTGTTCTAATGTAGTTTCCTCGTCACAAACAGACCTGGAGCTGTGTTTTGTTTCATGTACACATGTTTAAAACACAAAGCCTGCACATTTATGCTGAGTGCATTACTCAGAGTGAAAACTCCCTGTTGCACCTTGTGATGTCATCAGATGGTAATACAGGAAACACTCCATACATCTTCAGAATTATTTGAATAATTTGCTGTCCTGAAGTTTCCTAGCTTTGAACCTACAGCTAATGTTTTAGCACCACAATATATTGTAGACTCTCTGTGAAATAGAATAGAATAGAATAGAAAGCTTTGATTGTCATTATACAATAGTATATTTATATATATAAATTATACTACTTGTCATAGTGCAAGAATCAATAATAATAAAAAAAAAAATAGTTCTCATTTCTCATCAGCAAATCTCATCTGAAGAAAAGATATTTAACATATTTTAAATGGCAACAATTTAAGGTTATTCTAGTGTATTCTGCCCTACAAAGGCAGAATGCCATAACATCAGGTTTGGTCAAAAATGTGTTCATGTCATTTTGTTTGTATTTCAGTCCTCCTTTATCATGTCAGCAAATACTGTGAAAAATATTGAGCTCAAAATTGACTTATGACCCTTATTTGTCAGTTCCTGTTCTCTGCTTTTGTATCATGAGCCAAAAATAAGGAGTCGTGCAAAGGCTAAAGGCAGAAACAGTGTATGCTTGGTTTGTCATTTAGTTCATAAATATATTTTATTTTAAAATCCAACCTTTCGCCTCTTTCTTTTTGGTGCAGCCTTGGCTCAGGGTCTGAACACCTTCAGTAAATAAACCTTTGTATTCAATGATACTTCAGTGATGTTTAAAGTGAAAGTATTTGGCATATTTACATACTGTACACACTCTACTACAAAATCACTTGTGTTAAACTATTTACTGTGTAAGTATCGCCGCATGATCCTGAGCAACACTAAACAGAAAATCCAAAGCTCTTCTAGATCATTTCAGACAAACACATGATGACTGGAGCTTGGTGACGTCTTTTTCTTATAATGGATGAAAGTCTGGAGAAAATCAAGCCAATAACGATCATGTCACTTTCTGCCTTTGACCTTTGCACAAAAACTTATTTTAGGCTCATGACACAAAGACAGAGTACAGGAAGTGACAAATAAGGGTCAAAGGTCAATTTTGAGCTCAGTATTTTTCACATACAAATATTTCTTCATTATAGCAACAAGTTGTCAGATTTTGGGAGCCCGACCTATTCTACTTTTGTCTGGACAAAACAGAAACTTTTGAATTCATTTTTCTCAGTTTCACACTCTGGACAGTTAAACTCTTTTGCCTTCGTAGGGCAGCATTGTACAGTAAAGCAGCTTGATTAAGGCTAAAATTGCTGCTCTTAAAACACTACATGACATCACAAGGTGGAACAGAGCATTTTGAGCTTTGGAGATGTAGACAGAGTAAAGAGTTACTCAAACATGTGTGAATGAAACAAAACCCAACTCCTGGACTGTTTTTGAGGAGATAAAAACATTATAACACGGCTTAAAGCTCACAAGAGTCCATTTTGTGTAATACACAGTATATAGAACATAGAGTGAAATGAATGAATATTAAACATGTGCACCCGAAACCAAACTGTATTGTACCTTCACTCTTTTGGCTCCACTTTAAGTTCAGGTCGGACAGGAGGAAGTAGATAGCTTCCCACGCCACAAAACCTCCCATCACCTTCGGCAGCCACTGGCTCTGAGTCCCGTCAATCAGCTGGAGTCCGGTAAAAATAGCTCCCACTGCACAGAATGTGTGAGTTATTCAAATAAATGTAGGAAGCAAGATTAGACATTTACTGACAAAGTCTTACCTGCTAAACCTTTTATTGCCAGAGCGTTCAGAGCATGAGCCCAGTTAAAGAAGAAGCGCCTAGAAAATAGGATTCATGAACAGGTTGAGTTCACGTTCTACAATGTGATGATGACATAATTTCAAAAGGAGGGCAGGGACATATTTAACTCTAATAACGTAATCCACAAATGTTTGAACCTCATTATTATTTGGTCTGGATTAGGTTTACAAACCTTCAATATGAATCTCATGGTTTAAAATCCTTTCAACTTAAAACACAATAACAATTCACTTTAGTTTAGTTTATTTATATGGACAGAGAAGGCGTTGAGTTTTGTGTTTTCACGTGAATAGGCCCAGTATTTACAGAGCTACGAACCATAAACCAGGTCAACAAATCTACAACGTGACAGTTACACGTCAAACTCCACCTGACAGTTCTGTCCTGTCTCCAGCTTGGGTAGAACTGTTAAGTGTGATGTCATGTCCGAGTGCATCAGCTGATTAAAAACCATGGACATGTTCACACTTTCCTCTCTGCAATGCACTTCAAAGCTAACGAGGTTGTGAGCATCCATATATGGTTATAACTGTGACAGGAAGTGCACGAGGAAGGTTGAGGTCACAGAAATCATGGACGCAACATAACGGCTGCTCAGATGTGACTTGAGCAACACCAACAGGTGAGGCCACCACATCAGACAGACGCCAAGACAGAGATATAACTTTCCTTGTTTGGTTATTTAAATACCTTAAACATTGAAGCAGAAAAACAGTTTGTCCTTTCCCAAGTAAAGTCCAGTTACAGTCATTTAATACTCCAGACGTGTCATATTTCTTAGCATAAAAAAGATGTTTTAATATGTATATGTTTCTTTCATTTTTAAATCAGGATAGTCCTGCTGGGATTGAGAATCTGTTTTTTCAGGGGAGTCCTGCACATGTTTTTAGTGATAGGGGAAACTGAAGCACCTGGAAGAAAACTACACAGGTACAGGGAGAACATGCAAACTCCACACAGACAGACCCCACACCACCCCAGAATTAAACTGTGCTAACTGCTTTGTTGCCATAGTCTACAGCAGGCATGTCCAAACTACGGCCCGTGGGCAAAATGCGGCCCTTGGACAAATTTTTCTTGGCCCTCAGGCATCCAGGTGACTTGGCCCAATTATCTTACATCAAATAAAAATGACCTTTTTACTGCAAGTTTTTTGAAAATCTACTTAGCTAAAGATAATATTGAATATTTAGTGTGTGGTTTTGAGGATCTTAGCATAAATAAAGACTGATGGCTCATTCTAATGTGTTAAACATGCACAGATTTCAATTATTCACTGTATTCAGCACCAGTCTACAGCCTTCGATCAGCCTCTGCTTCATCTGTGTTTAGATATGACACCCCTGGTCTACAGTGTCATTGGTACAAAATGCAAAATCTGTGGAAAAGTGAGAGAAACATGACTTTTGGTCCTGATGCACTGCTTAGAGGTGAGCAGCAGTTACTGACATGTACACACTGGTAATCCTATTATATTGTAAATATAGATATTATAAATATAGAAAAACAAAGCAAATAATATAGATAACATAGACATGATCAAGATCTTATAAATACAGAAAATCAGACTTTGCACTCACATTGGATGGTGAGGGCTACATCGTGCCAGAGCTCCTATTGGCTGGAAGAAGGACAGGATCATGACCAGACAGCCTAACACTGGGTGTGCCCCCTGCAGGCACACATCACCATTACACTCCTGCTTTAACTGTACAGTTCATATAAGAGCTGAGCTGTGGAGACACTGACCCCAGACCAGGTGCGTCCGCTCACGAAGGCCAGGACGAAGGCGGTGATGGTGGCTGCCACAGCCAAGCACATGAACAACACGTGCACCTACACACACACACACGTGCGCGCACACACACAGGCACGCGCACACACAAGCACACACACACGTGAGCACACACACGCACACATACATACACACACGCGCGCGCACACATATGCACACACACACGCACACATACACGTACACACACACACGCATGCACACACACACGCACACACACACGCACACACACATGCACGCACACGCACACACAAACACACAAATTATAAAGTGTTTTATTGTCAGAGAATCAAAAAGTGAAAAACACTCCTAAACTCTTCTTGGTGAATAATTCGGGGGCTCAGAATTTATAAGCTAAGTGAGGAAGAATTTTGGAGCACTGCAAACCCATTAAATACAATTAGTTCTGCTTCTGACCTTTTTAAGACTCCTTTTTAAGTAAAAAGACGGGACAGCACTTTTAATTTAAGAATAGCGATTGTGAGATAGGGGCATGGTCCTGACCACGGCTTTAGCTTCTTGTGTGTTCAGCTGCTTTTTCACCTTATAGTGACCTGAGAGATGTAAAGACAGTGTAGTGTGCACACTCACCACAAACCACATGTCCTTCCCACAGAGCCTGTGACCCTGAGCCAGTTTCTTGTTGAACCTGGCCACCATCATACCCAGGGATCCCACGAACATCCAGGCCACCAGCATCAAAGCACCTGATGAGTGAGAAGTTTATGGGTCTAGACCAGGCATATCCAAACTATGGCCCGGGGGCCAAATGCGGCCCTCAGACAAATTTTTCTTGGCCCTCAGGCTTCCAGGTGAATTGGCCCAAATTACCTTGCATCAATTAAGAATTATGTTTTACTGCAAGTTTTTTGAAAATCTACCTTGATAAAGCTAACATTTAATATTTAGCGTGTGGTTTTAAGGATCTTAGCATGATTAAAGACTGATGGCTCATTCTAACATGTTAAACATGCACATATTTCAATTATTCTCTGTACTGAGCATCAGTCTATGGCAGGGGTGTCAAACTCATTTTGGTCCGGGGGCCATGTCCAACCTACTTTGATCCCAAAGGGGCCGGATCAGAAAACTCATGTCATATAAACCCGAAAAATAACAATAAGTTCAAATATTTGTGCAGAGAAATGCAAATCTATTACAGAAATCTTTTTTAATTCATGAACTCTTTCTTTTACAAAATATTATAATATTATGAACAACCTGAAACTTTAAGAAAAATGCAATTTCAACACAATGTTTTAACATGAACTTGTTTGCAAATAGGAATAAGTCCATTTTTTTTTGTAAAATCCTGCACTCAGCATCCACTTTTCTCATTTTTGACATTTGTTGATGAGGGTGTCACGGTCAACAGTCAAAACAATCGTCCTTTAAGAGCGTTTGGAAAGAGACAAGTCTTCATTTGTGCTGCTCTGGTGGGAGGGGCCACGCACAGAGAAGCTGGAGACGCTGATATGATAAACACCGCAGAAAATTACCAATATTTTAATAGAAAATATAATTAAAATATTTTAGTAGAAAATAAGTCGAGGGCCAGTTTAAAGGTCTTGGAGGGTCGGATCTGGCCCCCGGGTCGTATGTTTGACACCCATGGTCTACGGCCTTCAATCAGCCCTCTGTTTCATCTGTGTTTAGATATGTGGCCCTTGATGAAAAAAGTTTGGACACCCCTGGTCTAGACGTATTCTTGATCTGAGACATTTATAATGACATTTGCTCCTCACCGTGGGCTTTAATGATGAGAGGCGCCTGGGAGCTCTGGACCTGTCCTGGTGTGGTCACGTCCACTCTGCTCCTACTGACGAATGTCCCTGAGTGGATCTGGATCTGTCCTGTACAAACACATAAGCACACACAGGATTATTATGGGATGTCTGTCAGGCTTTTTATCATTTAAATTAGGGGTGTCAAATTATCGCGTTAATTGCGATTAATTAATTACAGTCATATTTAGCGCGTTATGTTTTTTAATCGCGTTAATCTCATTTTTAATCTCTAACTTTACTGTTTCTGTATGTGAGTTTCTTTATTATAAAACCTGTTTTTATGTGTTGTTGGGACAACAACACACACACACACAAAACACATTTATACATTTTTTTTTTTCGGTAATTAAACTCATTGCCGCAAACCCACACAAAACGCGCGCAGTAACAGCGTAAGTAAACGTCATGTTAACGTTGGCGGCGTCAGTCGCACAATGGATGAGGTCGAAGAGCCAGTAGAACACAGTCAGCAGTGCACAGGTAAAAACACATTCGTGTCTTGGAAATTATTCTCCCGACGTGAAATATAAAAGAAAATAACAAATATAATATCGCCTGAAAACAACCTGCATAGGCTCATGATGTCTGCACTACTGTCCTATAGTGACCTGCCACATGAGGGGACATGCACACAAACACACACAAACACACACAAACAAACACACACCTTCATCATCGTCATTAACCTGAGAACGCGCGGACCACGTTTCCTTCCGTAGACACTGCGCGGACACCGACGTGCTCCCGTGAGCTGCGTGTGGATCGTGTTTTCTCGCGTACGCGGCGTAAACCGAGCTTCCTCCTGTGCGCCTCTAAACCAGAACTAACACCAAGACTAAAACCAGGTCTAAACCAGGACTAAACCAGGACTAAAACCAGAACTAAAACCAGGTCTAAACCAGGTCTAAACCAGAACTAAAACCAGAACTAAAACCAGAACTAAACCAGGACTAAACCAGGACTAACACGAGGACTAACACCAGGACTAACACCAAGACTAACACCAGGACTAAAACCAGGATTAATCCATTCCAGGACTAAACTAGGACTAAAGTAGGTCTAAACCAGGTCTAAACCAGGACTAAAACCAGTGATTTCATATATAAAGCATTTCTCTATCAGTAATATTTTTAATATGGTTAAGGAAAGACTGGACTTTTTATTGTCTTTAAGTACACAAAAGTTATTATGTTCAGATTTCCTCGTCTTTGCTACTTTACAACAAACAGTTTCTTATTCATGGAGACTTGGGCTCAACAGCCAATTTGGAGAGATTTGTTAAACAATAAATGACTTTATAAAGTCACTTTTTTAAATCTATATCAGTCTTTTGATCTGCCACAATAATGTAATAATGAATTTAAATGAAAATACCTCAAATTGAAGGCTTTTCTCAGCAATTTTTAGGTGAGATTAAAATGAGATTAATTAGATTAATTAATTACAGATCATAATTAATTAATCTCTCAATTTTTTTTAATCGCATGACAGCACTAATTTAAATGTTTATGAATTCATTCATATGTTTTTTTAATAAAACTGACATAAAGGTGCAAGAGGATTATTTTTGTTATTATTGCTGTTGATATACTGTAATTAAATGCACTCAGCTCCATATGATTCTTTCTGTCCCATAACGTGATGTTAGGTTATTCCTCACTTTCCTCACAACACATCCTCTCATCCTATATCATTAATGAACAACAACTAGCATGCTACCAGCAAACTTCCTGATTTTCAGATGATAAAAATTTCTCATTTCTAATTAGATGCAGACAGCACAGTAGCACACACACACACACACACACACACACACACACACACATACATACATATATAGTATAGCATATAGAGTTTACTATGGGATGTTTATTACCACGAGAAACTAGCATTCTGCGTCTATAAAGTGTTAGTTTGCAGCTGGTTCTCACCGTTGCTGCTTGGTCCGTGTGCGTACAGGAGGTAGTAGGTGGGGCTGCTGCTCCTCTGGGTGGAGATGCTGTTACTGGAGGTGAAGGAACATCTGATCACTCCGTCCTGCACCGACGTCTGTATGTCTGAAACATCACCCTAAAAAACAACATCATCTCTTGTGTTATTCAAAGCCTCTATCTGTCTGAGTAACAGTACTTAGTACCACTTTACTTAGTACACTTTCAGTATCGTTAGTAAACCATGAAGAACAATTCATAACAAACAAGTTTATTAACAGGCCATGATTATGTTAGTTCTTCTCTCAAAAACAAACAAACAAACAAACAAAACAAAAAAACACTCCACCTTATGATGTAATGTGGTAATACTGGAAGCACTCCACTGTGTTTTAAACTCCATACACTGTCAATAGAATCATCTCAATGATTTTAGCCTTAAAATTGCCAGTCTCCTCTGAACAACGGTAAAAATAAAATAAAATAAAAGCTTGAGGAGAAAATTCAGTTTGTTGACTGGACAAAAGTGAGTTTGGATGGACACAAGTTAGTTTCAACCAAACTAACTTATGTCCAGTCGACAAACTTAGTTTTCTCCTCATGGATTCTACCTGGATGACTGAGAGATTCTTCATGTAAAAAAAAAAGCTGTAAATTTGAAAACTACCTCTTCATGACATCACAAGGTGGAACAGGGCAATTTGAGCTTTTGGAGATGTACAAATTAATAATGCAGGATTACTCAAACAGGCGGGAATGAAACTCCGGGTCTGTTTTTCAAGACACCACATTATAATATGATTTAACGCTCATCAGAGTCAGTATTGTATATGTATTGGATCTTTAATAAAGCTCAAAGAAAGACAAATCATACTGAAGATTTATTCAAAATGATTCAGGCTTATTAACTATCTAAGTCTTGATTTATGCTTTATTAAAGCTAATTTAAGTGTGGTTATTAGTTTAACACAATCCACAAAAGGTACAATGCTCACAGATTTAGAACATCAGCACATTCTCAACTCTGAAATGAAAGTTTTACCAGAGAAATCGTCTGTGGTGTGGTGGTGCCGGTGGAGAAGGCGTGCTGTATCTGCACCTGCCCACTGCTGTCCAGAACACAAATGTATATGTCATCATTTCCCTGGAAAAATTACAAAAATGTTCATCAATTATAAATCTGTCCTTTTAGCATGTTTCCAAGCAGGTTAACTGTAATTCAGCTGGACGAAAAATACATGTATAAATTAGACCAGTAAGTATGGAGAGATGAAGGGGAGAATGATAGATTTGTTGAATAAAATATCTGCTAATGTTGGTGGTGAAGCAGAGGAGATGGAGAGGCTGAGGAGGCTGATGGTTCTACTGCTGAGACAGTAAGATAAAAAGAACATTTAGGCTTGAGAGGTGATTGGTTAAGAGGCAGAGGTGGTGATTAGCTGACAGTGACACTTCACAGGACAGAGAACATTTTTTAGACTTTGTAGAACTTATGGAAAGAATGATGTATAAAATGTGCAGAAAGAAAGACTATGCAAACACAGATCACACTGTCCAGTCTAATGTTCAGTATGTTACCATCTCCTGGTCGTCTGAGAAGCCGAAGGCCACGTAGCCGCCAGAGGGACCGGACATCTGGTACCGGATGGCAGAGGACCCAGAGGACACCGGCATGGCTGACAGGAAGTAGCAGTTAGCAGGGCTCTGAACTGGGTCACAGCCTGAAGGGTTCTGGAAGCACACCTTAGACTCTCCACAGCCCACCGCTGAGATGTCCTGTGAGGAAGAGCAGAGGACCACCACATTTTTACTACATGGACATCTTCATTTACTCCTAATGCTCCATTCACACTGGACAAGGCCTCTAGTTTACATGAAAGTCAAGGTTTGGTTTGCTTTTGGCATAGACTGTATAAAAATGCGGACTAAGCGAATGTGACATCACCCACAGCGTTCAGCTCCACTCATGGTTACAGGCTTTATATTATGAACAGGAAACAGACAAAATTGTGAAAAAAAAAAACTAACAAAAAACAACAACAACAAAAACAACAACAAAAAACAAAACAAAACACCAAGATCATGTAGAACAGGTTTATATGAAAATTTTAAAACCAAAATGACGAGGCTCACAGCAGCAGGTAGAGAGAGGGGACACAATATTCCAATATAAGTCAATAGGAAGCAAAGTCAACTTCATGTTAGTCTTCCTATGTCCATATATATACAGTCTATGATTCTTCAGTCTTGAGAATAGCATTAGAAAGTTCTGAAAGGGAACATGTAAGACGTGCAGCATGAGCAGTTCAAACACAAGTAAGGGACTGAGCGGTTTGGTTTTTTTCTGTATCAATGGAGACCACGCAAGAGGCTAGCTAAGGAGCTAGCTGTGGACATTTGAGGTACTACAGGCTTTTTGCACCATATGTGGCAACAAACATTTGTTGCAGAAGACCTTCCAGAGGAAACACTTTCAGGGAATGCACCATTTCATCACCAACAGAGCAGAGTAAGAATGAGGCTTGTTGTTTTCACCTGGTTCCTCCTGGACACTGCTGTGACGCTGCAGGACACAAAAGAGGGACACTCTGGCTCTTCCAAAGAATCTGCTCACCCTCCCTGACCTCCAGTCAAACTAAGACCTCTGACTGAGACACAAAGGCCACTGAGATGCACAGTGGAAATGTAGTGGAAATCCAGAGGTAAATTCAACTTGAATTTGCCTCTGGATCAGGCTCACTCTTTCAGACAAATGCTCAGTTTCGACTCTCTTGTAATCGATCACTCCCTCATGGCATCAGACACCTATTTGAAGTCAAAATGATCTGCTGTAGATAGAACATGTGTTACATGTGAGACCAGCAAGGAACTAAGGAAACAAAACAGGACACAGGTCACTCTTTGTTGGAGTTTTTTTTTTTTTTAGGTTTTTAGGTTGTTTGTTTTTTGTATTTGATGGTATTATGATTAACCCTAACCCAGTACAACTGCAAATGACCAGTGTGACCAGTATAAAAACAGGGCTGAAAAATGCATGTATTCAGGGGGAGTCTGTGGTTGTTGTGGTTGTGGCTGGCACATCGGCTTTTTTTTTTTTCTTTTTACTTTAACTTAAAGGTTGTATAGAGGATTTTCCAAGGAACGAGAAATCCAGCGACTGTTTGTCCTTTTTCAAATGTTGCGCATGCGTGAAACCACCCCCCCTCCCCTACAGCTCCCTACGTAGAAACGCCTTCTCCCGCCTCCTCTTTACCCCAGAAACAGGTTTGTTTACAGCCGGTGCGCTGCACATGACTTGTAAACAACTAACTACAGTGTTGGTTAGGCAAGGCGGAGAAGTGAGGAGCGGGGGGAGCGGGTGTGCGGACATTTCGTTCGCGGACGAGAAGTGAGGAGCAGGGAGAAGAGCGGAGCGGGGAGAGAGGAGAGGAGAGAGGAGAGGGTGCAGAGAAGGTTGCGCGGAGATTCAGTGGGAATGAACTAGCTACAACACGCAGCAGCAAGCGGACTCTTTCTTTGCATTGAAAATTACGTTTTCAGACATAGGATATCGCTTTCGTGTCCTAAAAAACGTTTGACTAGCTCTTGGAAATAAAGTACGTTTTCATAATAAGCAGAAGTTTCCTGTCCAGGAGTCATTTGGGGACCAATGCGTCAGTCTTTAGACCCTGCGTCTGCTTCAGTCGCGCCATCGCTGGAATGAATCTTCAAGAATCACCTTGGTTTGGCTTCGCTGCTTTTCTCCTTGTCTTCTTCTTTCAGCGACCTCAAAAACGGACTTTCTTTTGCGGCTAACTGCTCCTGGATTCTTGTCTGCCATTGCAACAAACTTTGTGCTAACTGCGAGGAAGATATAGGTCAAAAAAAGCCGCTAAGAACTGTTGCGTTGGTGGAGTAAACAGCGTCTGTGCGTCTTGCGTCTGTGGACTGCGTGACAGGCGTACGTAAACCACGTAACGGCGGCGCGCAGGCAAGTCAGTTACGCTAGAAACGTAGGGAGTTTGATTGACAGCCTGTCAGCTCACAGATAACGAGGCAGTGTCGTTATCTATTGGCAAATGTTTAGCCCCACCACGTCCAGAGTTGATGAATTTTTATTCTCTTTTTTTTGGTCATCATAATTACAAGGCTACTGCACCTCTATAATGCTATCATTGACAACTTGAAACAAAAAAACAAAACAAAAATCCTCCATACAACCTTTAACATGAGCAGCATGTGTATGTGACATGTCTCAGTGAAATTGGGAGGCTTGTTTTTATTACTGCTCTGTGTGTAGGTTTAGCTTCTTTTTGCAGTTTTTTACCTGTTGCTGTGGAGTTTTTATTGCATGTTTTTTTTTTTTTTTTTTTTTTTTTAGAATGGAATAGAAGTAGAATAGAAGTAAAAGCCTTTATTGTCATTGTACAGTATAATTAAATTCAGAGCTTTTAAGCCTCACATAAGCGCTGACCCATAACCCCAAAGCACATGACACTTTTCAGCCAATGAGAGACACTGACCAATTAACACCCCTGGAGCAGAACTAACAGAGCAGGGGGACGAGGGAAGATTGCAAGGATCACCACGACACTGAGTCCACACAACGGAGTGAGGAGCTCCCATCTCCTCTGTAAGTCACACGGGACAGTGGTGCCCCATTCACATGTATAAGAATATGAGGTAGCGGTCTGTCGTTCGTGGTTTGTTGCTGCTGGTCTCTGTTTTCTCTGCAGGGCCAAGGGACACGGATCAGGTGACCCCCTGCATCACATTACCAACTTCCCCCGCATTTTAACCCACCTAGTCTTGAGACCAACTTTTTACAACAATGCAACAGTTGTGTGCCTAAAGTTCACCTGACTTCCTCTGGAGGACGCTGCTGTGTTGCTGCAGGACTCAGAGGAGGGACACTTTTGGCCTGAGGCCTGTTATTCTCATCAAACTGCTCTGACACGGGATCTCACGGGATTGAAATGGTTTTATATTTTGTTCTTCCAGGCTGCTAGCGGGCGCTAGTTGATAGATTGAAATCCAGTTACCAGACTTTTCTATTGCCTTGTCATAATAGGTGTCCAAAAATCAAAGAAAATATAAAGCATCAAACATCCCCTTTAAACGCAACTTCCCTCCAAAGAACAACACAAAGACAAGCCACACTGGATTAATATAGTTTAATACACACAGAGTACTACAAAGAATACTACAGGGAAAATCAGTCCTCACAGTTCATCATAAATAAGGCACAGGAGCACACATGTCTAAACAGACAGCTATATTGATGGGTGTTCCATTGCTGGGATCAGTTTTACATTTTCACTCTCTCCTCTTGGTTAGACAAAACACAAGTAGCAACTAGGTCTATAAAGCACATTTTCCTCCAGTAGGCCTAAGTATGAATACTGAAAAAAATATTTGAAGAAAACACAAAAATTACATTTTGTTGTTTATGTTTTTTTCATCATTGTGGTATTGAAATAAGTATTGAGTATCAAGCTTTGAAATGTTAGTTTCGAGACAACACTGGTTTACTCTTTCCTAAAAGAGCTGAGGTCATAGACACAGAATTATGACAGTTATGTTCTTAACTATTTAAAGGTGCACTGTGTAATTTTTCCGGTGGCCTGCTTGTCCTCATGGAGATTTTATTTGACAGAAACTTCACACAGTAGGGCCTTTGCCATAAAACTTTTTCTTTTTCCATGGGAACAACAAAGTGACACTACCAGGCCATGTGACAGGTCAGATCTGTGGAGTATTTTTAGATCAGTTTGATGATCTAATAATATGTTGTGTTTTATCACCTCCAAAAATATAACTGAAGAAGACTGCAGGTTTTAAAAGACAAAGCAAGGTAAGTGACTAGTTGAAATGCAAGCTGGGTGTGGTCTGAGCAACACCTGATACGTGTACAGTGTCATGCGAGTTACAAGCAAAGACTGTATAAAGAAATGGACTGAGGGAGCGTGAGGTCACCCACAGCCTTCAGCTCCAGTCAAATGAAACTCATGAAGCTTGAAGTTATAGGAGCAAATTTGAAGCCAAGTCTCATATTAGGAAGAGGAAATGATTACGGACAAAATAGTGCAATATAAACATCAGGATCATGTCGAGTAGATTAATATGAATATTTTAAGAAAAAAATGAGGAGACTGACAGCAGCTGTTACTAAGAGAGGGGTGATGATTTTTCAATACAAAATGAATTGGAATTGGAGTCGATGGAGCCAGAAGCACACCCATGCTCACTTTCTATTTGAAACAACAGTTAGCAGGTTCGCTCTGTCCAGTCACACATACAGTCTATGGTTACAGTGTAAAATGATGACACTGTAAAGCCCTGACTATAGTTTCATGGAGAAGCCCTGGTCGCTCAGAGGACGAGACCTCGGGTGGAGTGAAGGTGCGGCTCACACGGGGGTGGGGGGTGGGTGCACACAGAGGGGGTGAGAGGAGACGTCACAGGGCCCAGTACAAGAGGAGCAGGAGCAGGCTCTGAAACAGACACACAGTTACACACAAGAACACAAGAAACTGACTGTCAAACACTTAACAACATTGATTCATTGATTTTTACTTAATGCACATGTTTTAATCCTAATTTGTTGTAGAAGTTGTGTAGGTCTATGATAATGTAATATATTCCAAATGTCATATTTTTTTGTCCCATTTAAAAGATCCTATATTATGATAAATCAAAAAAAATCTAATTCAGAAAAAAAAAAAAAAAAAAAAAAAAAACATACCTGGAGTGTTTGTGTCATCGATGCATGCTGATGTCGCAGTTGTCAGATGTAAAAATGCTTGATTCCACCTTGTGATGTCATAAGTGGAAATCCAAGAAGTGCTCTGCCGTGATGTGTATGCGTTTCAGCCTGAGATTAGCGGCTCTTTGTAGGTTTTTGTATGACTTCAGTACTTGCTCCTCTGGTGGGAACCATGTTATTGTACAAAACCTAATGTTATATTTGAATGAGCTGAGCTGTTCATAATGTAATAATACAGGAGCTTTGAATGAAGGGCTGGGCATGGTGTGGGTGAGTTTCTGTGGGTGAATAAAGTGTCCTGCACATGCCCATGTCCTGCTGAGGACAATGCAAACCTGGAGTCATATATCAGTGCAGATGGGCATTGTCCAGCTCCGGGCCCACATACAGCCCTTTGGTCGACTCTGACTAGCCCGTTTAAGATCATGTGTAATTACAAAATAAATATATTCTTAATAAATTCTTACCAGTCTGAACATCGCATCAAAAAACAATGCTATTTCCTGCTTTTTATAAAGAAATACAATTAATCTTATGCAGAACTGTGTAAGGCATTTTGGCCTCCACAATATTTTCTGTTTCTCATGTGGTCCCAAAAACAATTGTACACCCCTGTATCAGAGCTGTAACAGACTAATGTGTTGTAGAGAGGAAACCCCTCTGCTTTATGTGACATCAGGGCATCTGTGTTGTCAGTTTGTCAAAGCCTGATCTCGTCAGATCTCAGAAGCTCAGCAGGGCCTGAGCACTTGGACGGGAGACTGCTGGGAAAATCAGGTGCTACAAATGGGGTGCCAGTCACAAAAACTGTTGTGTCCTTAGGCAAGACGCTTCACCCTCACTGCCTAGTTTGAAAATTTAGTTTGTGTGAGTGTTGGTGGTGCAGATTGGCGTTGCTTCTGTCAGTCTGCCCCAGGGCAGCTGTGGCTACAATAGTGATTTTCCACCACCGAGTATGGAGTGAATGAATAATGATTTGCAAAACTGATGCACTATTATTATTATTATTATTATTATTATTATTATTATTATCTGTGGATGTAATACTTTAATATTCATTTAAAACATCTGAACTTCAGAGCTACATGAGACTCACCAGACCAGTAGTGGTGGGCTGGGCTGTGGAGGAGCCGCTGTAACTTCCGCTGAACTGGACCTGAGGACTGGCCACAGCCACCCAGTATGTATTTTTAGTCTTCACAAAGGTGGCGCTAGAGAGACAGTTTTCATTATTGCCTTCAGTTTCTGGTTATAGACAGCAGAGAGAAAGAGAGGACTTACTAGAACTTCACAGCCCGGTCGCTCACAGGTCTCCACTTCACCTGGATGGATTTCTTACCCGAACTTGAAGAGTGAGCCAGAGCCGAGCTCTGAAACAGAAAAGCCTCACATGACTCTCTCATTTGGGTTTCAGTTCTGAAATCCATTTGGTTTAAACCTAAAGGATGAAGCAAGACTTGTCATATACTGAGCATGAGAAAACCTTGGATGTGTCTGTCCGCAGTTTAAGGCTTTGGTGACACAAATCAGTTGTGATTATTTTTTCAAAAAACTATATGCAGTACTTTTATTTTCTGGTTGAAATAAGACATGTAACAGTGACCCCTGTAGGCTGCAGGCCTAAGTATGTGTACGGTATGAGTATGAGGTATCAGGTTTTACAGGTATGGGACAGTGACTCAGCAGTTTGATTTACACTCACTGGACTGTCTTATGCTCAGTTATGGAACTGTGAAAGTATACAGAAAACAATGGCCTGCTCCAGACCTGTAAATGACCTTGTGGTGCTGGAAAACAATTCTACTTTTCTCTTGATAACAAACAAGATGATTATGTTGTTATCTTATTCCATAATTAACTTGATTCCGTGAGTGGAGAGTGGAAGTCAGAGTTGCAGGGCACTGCACTGCTGCAGGCTTTCTGGAAACAACTTTGTGAAACTCGTCTTTGCTCATTTAGTTTTTAGAATCCCCAAAATTCTATACTGGGATCCCCCAAGTGAGTGTGCTGAGCCCCCTGCTCTTCACTCTGTTCACACATGGCGGCTCTGCCTCTTCCTCCTCCAATCACATTGTCATATTCACCGATGACACCACAGAGCCTGGACTCATCCCAACAACAATGAAACGGACTACAGGAACCAGGTACAACATCTAGCGTCATGGTGTCACAACACTAACCTGTTCCCGAAGATCAAGACAACCAAGGAGATCATTGTGAACGAATGGACAAAACAACCACTGACCCTATAGTCACTGAGATGGTAGAGGTGGCAGAAAGGGTGCCCAACTTTAAATTCCTGGGCTGACCATGGCTGAGGACACAGTCCTGGGGCATTTGCACTGCCTCAGCCGTGGGGGAGGCCCAACCAACAATGCCTCTACTACCAGAGAAACCTGAGGAGCGCCAACATCCCCAGGGGAAGGGAGGGGAGGGTAAAAAAACCTCAAATATACTTGCCGATTGTGGCTTTAAATACAGTGTATAACAATCTCATAGGCTGGATCATTCTGGGACACAGGTGACATCAGTGCACTCATGTTTCACTCTCTGTTGACTCTAAACCTGTGCTTATCTGCATGTCACCTGAGAGCCACCAAAGCAAAACACTTAAAAACACTTTAGTAACTCGATAAGACCTGCTCTGAAAGCAGGCTGGGAGGTGACTGTTTCATTTTACAACCTTTACCTCCTGATGTCCTTCCTGTTAACAAGCCACACTGTGACTGGATGGTACGCAATATGGGTGTGGGTATGGGAGTGTCCTGGCCAGGGATACTAAAACAACAGTTCCTGGAAGGCCCAATACAAAATATGAATCATCATTTTCCAATGAAATTATTAGCCAAAGTAGACAGAGAGATAAAATCCAGGAAGATGCATTTCCACCCTGTTCCTCCCTCCTGTCTCTCACTCTCGGCCAATCACAGTCTGCTGTTTTTACTTCTCAGCCAATCACCTCAAAACATTCATATAAAGCACTGTACAGCTAACAATGTACAGCAAGATATTTAAAAAAAAAATCATTTTGTCAGTTGTTACTTGAAATATTTGCATGTGACAGGTCCCAAACCAGTGGTGTGAGACTGACCAATCACAGGGCAGGACTATGGCTTAGGCTGGGTTGAAGCTAAGCAAATGAACATACTTTGGCTTAATTGGGTGAAAATATAGTCTATTTTGTGTTTGTTTTTATGTTTAGAGGGAAGAACTTTTGTGGAAAGTAAGATGTCTGTGCTTTTCTCTCAGACGGATTTAACTCAAGTTAGATTTTTTGCCTTTTGTGATGCTTTGACTAATCCAAAATGATTCTAGTGAAGGTGTATGGAGTTAAAACACAGCGGAGCACTTCCTGTATCACCACATGACATCATAAGGTAAAAATGTTTGAGAGAAGAACCTTCACTAGAATCATTTAGATCATTTCAGCTTTAGAATTGTCAGTCTCTCTTGAAGAGAAGGAGCTGTTCACTTGGAAACTACCACCACATGAAATATTTAAACATGTGTGAATGAAACAAAACACAGCTCCAGGTCTGTTTGTGAAGAGGAAATGACATTATAAGATCAGAGAATAGGCTAATATGGGCTCTTGAAGTGTAAGGTGAGGTGTGAGGACTTACTGCTTTTCCCCCACAGGTGAGGGTGTGAGTCCCAGAGGGGGCAGAGTGGAAGGAGCCCACAGCCGCACCACTGGCCGTCTCCCGAGCCTGCAGCAGGAAGCCTTCAAACACGTCAGAGGAAGTGGCAGTGAGGGACACTGTAACAGAACAGAGAGGGCCACTATAACACACAGGAAGGGCATCTGAGTAAACACACAGAGAGGGCATCCGAGTAAACACACAGAGAGGGCATCTGAGGAAATGAGAGTGAGGAGGGCAGTGTCAGAGTGCTGACATGGAAACAGGACAAGAGAGAACATGCACACCTTCATAACAGGGGAAATCATAACAGGGGGTGCAAGAGCGAGACAGACACATGGAAGAGATACTCGTTTGCTTGTGCTTGAACAGTTATTATGTGCACAAAAGAACTGTAGCTTTGAAGTTAAAGGCCATTGAAGGAGGAAATTGAGCTGCTGCACGTGAGCTTGGCATCGATGAGTTGATGATGAGACATTGGCAATGGGAGCGTGACAAACTGACTCAATGCAAAAAGACGACAAAAGCTTTCAGAGGCAATAAAAGCAGATGGCTTGAACTTGAAAACGTTCTTGAAGACTCAGAGAGCAGATGACTGAGGTGTTTCCATCGTGCAGATCCGTCTGAAAGCTAAAACAATCACCACTGAAATGAAGATGCAGATTTTAGAGGTGGACCATTGTGGTGTCTCAGATTTATGAGCCACGATGGTCCACCTCTAATATGTCCATCAGGGCACGGACGACTCTGTGACAACTCCCACCCATCTGCAAATTCACTCAAACAAAGAAAGCTGAGAATTCCATCGGACCAGATGAAATCATAAATATGGATGAAGTACCTCAAGATCATCATCAAGAGGACAAACTCAATTCCAGCTGTGATTCCTGGGGACACAACAAATTATTTGCAGCCACTTAACATCAGTGTGAATTATGCATTTCAAGTGACTCTCCGAGTTGAGTGGGAGTAGCCGCATGTGAAGAGCAACTTTTACTCAAGTCTGTCTCACACAGCGTGGGGCTGTGTGAAAAATTCTACAATCACCAAAGGGTTTTGAAAAACAAGACTGCTGTGTGATGAAGAGGACAGCACAAGCTCAAGGATGAATTTGCCTCGAGATGAAAGTGACATTGAGAGTGACAACAAAACAGAGACTGAGAAAGTGTGTCATTCTGAGGCTGTTCAGTTCTGACAGTGAAGACAATGACTTCAGTGATTTCAGTGCACAGGAGGAAGATAAAGGAAGGAGAAAATACCTACAGTAAACAAGTAAGGTGAGGCAGTTCCTGAATGAATGAAGCTTTGTTTAGCCACTTAAAATCTTCTACACAGGTATCAACAGTAAACCATCACAGTTCCATGTGATTGAGTTCAGGAGGTTAACCTTAAAGTTAAACTTTAATCTTTATTTTCAGACTTCCTGAGGCTTCAGGCTGACCATTTTACTGTCATTTTACTGCCATGTTTTGTTTTGTTTTTTTTTGTTTTGGGGTCAGTTTGGTCTCTACAAGCAACAAAACTGTCCACTCTGCAATGAAAGATGGTTTAATATTTCGTTTAGACCACTTGCAGTTATAGAAGTAAATTCAATACCTGCACATCTTTTTTCTCATGCTGTAGAACCAACTGGATTTCAACTTTGAAACTGGCAACACAAATGAGAGACTTGTGTGAAGTTCATTCTGCTCTCTGATTGGATAATCATCTTGAGAACCAAAACACCATCATATCTCATGATTTTGTAATCAGAATAAATCAACTTCATCCACCCATTTTCTTTCTCTTATCTGGGGCTGGGTCACAGCGGCAGTCATCTAATATTTAATTTCAGTTTATCTTGTAGTTGAACACAACCCAACTTCATATTTCATTCTGAAACATGAGCAAACAATCCAAACAAAAAGGGTGGAGGTGTACAGTATATAATCATATATACTGTACTCACATACTGTACTCACATATACTCATATATACTCACATATACTCACATATACTCATACACAAACCTCCCCAGCACTGTCACAGTTTTACTGATGATTGTACTGAGATGCTCTCATGTGCACAGACTTTGGTCTTTACAGGTGATTTGAATGTACATGTGGATAATGTGTGTGACACAAAAGCTAAAGAGCTCAGTGCTGTCCTTGAAACTTTTAGTCTGACTCAGCATGTCAGCGACCCACCAGCACAGGGCACACTCAGGTCCTGCTCGGGACCTGGGAGTAAATATTTCAAATGTCAGAGTGGTCGATGTTGCTCTGTCTGATCATTTCTGTGACTGGGTTAGGGGTTAGGAGTTAGGAGTTAGGGGTTAGGGGTTAGGGTCCTGCAGTTGTTCAGAGGAGACACATAAATGTAGGTGCACGGTTCATGCAATGTTACACTTTGAAATGGCCTTGTTCTGATACTGATGGTTTGTAGAACTAGATCTATCTATCTATCTATCTATCTATCTATCTATCTGTCTATCTTTCTGTCTTTCTGTCTTTCTGTCTATAAGAAGAAAACTCAGTGGAGGGAGGCTGTCAGGGCACAGAAAATATAGAGTGCCATGGGACAGAGCAGAAATGGAGTAAATTCAAAGGTCCAGGCTCATTATGAGATTTTTTTTTTTTTTTTTTTTTTTTACATTATTAGGGTTAATTTTCACATCTAAGTCAGAGTTTGCGGCGCTAAATCGTTCAGTTCCACAACACAGACATCAACCTTGCAGTCACAGAGACACATAGAGCTAAGTCCCTCACAGAACTGTGCTAGAGACCAGTCACACCACAAATGTCCAATCTATGACCCAGGGGCCAAGTGCTTGAAATCAACCTTAACTAGAAAAGCACTCAGAGAGCGCAGACCTCCGCCAAGGACTACCCCCATTTTTTATATAAATTGCGATAAAATCAGTCTTCTGGATCAGATCCGGATCAGCCTTTGGAATATGAAACAGGATGCCACTGTCCATCCCTGAGTCAAATTTTATGGGGTTTGGTCAATAATTAACCGAGATATTGAGAAACAAAATTTTTGGCCCCATTTACCACAATGTTAACAAAAATTTCAAAGTGATCTAGAATCCAGGATTTCTTCCGGATCACCCCCAAAATGAAATCAGTTTTTCCTTTTCACATTTCCAACAAATCCTGAAAATTTCATCAAAATCGGTCCATAACTTTTTGAGTTATGTTGCTAACAGACAAACAAACAAACAAACAAACAAACAGACAAATGCCGGCAAAAACATAACCTCCTTGGCAGAGGTAATGAAGCTGATATCAAGTATTTTCTAATCTAATCTAATCTAATCTAATCTAATCTAAGATGGAGTAAAGGTTTTCTAACTTGTTTTAAGTGTTTGAGTTATTCACTGTGTCGACCGTCCTTCAGCTTTGTCTGTGTGTAGACATCTTGCCCTTGATGTGAAACGTTTGGACAGGCTTGATGTACACGCTTCCTCCATGTGTTACTCACTAGATTTTTAAAGTCTGTTCATAGACTGTTCATAGTTACCATGTGACTTCAAACTGGAACATTCCCAAGAGCTTTGAAAGAAGAGCAGCTCTGACGTCCCCTTCCCCAACCCCCAGCACTGAACAATTACTGACCCATTTCAAATCTGCCCATTTTAGGTTAAATCCTTGAAAAAGCTGTTTATACCAAGATCTTACTAACTTACTAACCACATGAACATCTCTTTTGATGACCCCTTTTGTTCAAATCTCTACATGCTGCCGTTCATACTCAGCAATAACATGTCTCTCTGCACTCTGCAGACAACACTCAGATCTATGTCTCACTGCAGCAGATGAATATGAACCAACCGTCTCTGACACTAGACACTCACAGTAGAATAATATAAAGAAAAGTGCTCCAGTCACACGGCAGGACATTTGAGTGTTTAGTGCTAAAATACAAACAAATTAAACACAACTTCATTTTAAAACCACTTGTCATTTATAGAATAAGTATTTCTGCACAGATAAGTCGAATTTTGGAGGAAGAAAAATATTATTTATAAAGTCATTTAAAGTGATTATGCCAAAATGTGCGCCACGTCATGTTCCAGCAATATCCAGATGAAACAAATGAATGGGACACATTATGTGATGGTGTAAGAGCTCAGGATGCTCAGTCAGCCTATGTATTTGTGTCCAGTCCATGGTAACAGAGAGCTTGGCTGCTGTTGAGGCTTCCTGGCTCACACAATGAGCAGTTTTTGGAATGTTTTGTTTTGTTTTTTGAGCTCTGTTTATAATATCATATCATGGGATTTTAATCAATGAGACGTGCAGCATGTGCAGTTCAAAGGTCACAAGTAAGGGGCTGTTGGATTGTGTGAAATGAGCTGTTTGTTTTTCTTGTATCCTTGGAGAACATGCAAGAGACTAGATAAAAGCTGGCTACGGACAGGTTTTTTACACCATATGTGACAGAAGATGTTCAGAGGAAACACCGTTTCATCATCAACCAAAATATCAGAGTTAGAACGAGGTCTTTCCTGATATATTCACCTGGTTCCCCCTGGACTCTGCTGTGATGCTGCAGGACACAGAGGAGGGACATTTTTGTCTCTGCTCACCCTCTGACCCTGACCAGTGCTCCTGTTACACTCACACCTTTTACTGACACACAAAGTGAAAATGTTGAACTTGAGTTTCCCTCTGTCTGTCAGTCCTGTGGGCTGTAGTAATCTTTCTATTATCATTTCTTCATATCAGAGTTAAGTACGAGGCCCCTCCCTCTTTGTCAATGTTAGGTTGGTAAATTGCGTCTGTGGAAAGGAAATGAAGCCGACCGCAAGTTTATAAAACCTCATAAAACTGTAAACAGATAATTAACACGAGCCCAGAACACACATGGAGTACTTCTGCCCTCTCTGCTCTGTTTGAATCCACATGTTTACGCTGGGAAGGTTCTACATGTATCTCTATGGTAGAAAGTTCAACAGTTACCATGGTGGCACAGTGCAGTCCAAACAATTTTCAATATCATTAGATAAAGATTATCATTAGATAGATCTGATGTTAAAGTGTAACATTTCATTGAGATGAGAAAGTGTCAGATCCAAAAGTTATTTTTTTAAAGAAATTGTACGTATCAGAGTACTTTTCTAGCAACATACTTTTACTCCTACTTGAGTAGCATTTTTATTGAAGTAACAGGTATCTTACTAGAGTGAAACAAAAGCCGACTCTTCCCACTGTGAGTAATTCTACAAGTGACAAAGGTTTTACTTTGACCACATGAAATGATTTGAACGTTTGTTTCTTGCAGCTTCTTCACTTTAGATTTAGTTTTTGTGCATTATTTTGTCTGTCAAATTACATTAACTTTCATGATTATATAAATCTGATGTTTTAAAGATGTTACTCTTTAAATTACTTTCACTTGAGTAGTCGTTTTCCCAAATACTTTTTTACTTTTACATAGCCTACATTTCTTGGACTACTGCACTGTTTAAGTAATATTAATTTGGAGTAATGTAATTCTTACTAGAGTATACTTTTTAGTTACTCTACCCACCTCTCTACAATTTTAAATGGAGGACACTCTTCAGGAAAAAAAACACTGGAAGCCTTAAGCCATGTTCTGATGTTGTTCCCTCCTCAAAAACAGACGTGGAGATGTGTTTGTTTCATTCACATGTTTGAGTAACTCTTTATTATTAGTCTGTCTACATCTCAAAGCTCAAAATGCTTTTGTTTTTTTTACACTGTCATTTAAGGTAAGGGTTTTTTTGGGGCACATGAATTAATGGGAGGTTTAAGCACCAATCTGAAAAACTCATTATCAAACATAACAAGGTTCCCCTCCTCTTCCCACTTGTAAGTGGACAGACTGACACATGTACACTTATTATTTCCACACATCCCTCCACACAACACACATAAATACACACAGTCATTTTCCTTTACTGATGTACACCTTGTCTGCTGTGGTGATCTATGAATTTGTATTGTATTGTTCCATATTGTACTTATTGTATTGTCCTGTCTAATGTCTGTGTGCATGTTGTATGTTGCAAATAATAATTAAAAAAAAAAAAAAAAAAAAAAAAAGCTCAAAATGCTCTGTTCCACCTTGTGATGTCATGTAGTGGTAGTTTTCATATTACCAGGTCCTTTTCCCTTCAGTTCATTTAATTGTAATTATATGGAAGTGATTCTAGTGAAGTACATGAAGTTTAAAACAACTTCATTGTGGAGCACTTTCTGTATTATCACATGACATCACAAGGTGGAACAGTGTTTTCTGTTTGAGAAGAACAAATGTGCAGGGTTTGTGTGTTAAACATGTGTGGATGAAACAAAACACAACTCCAGAAAACATAATGAAATATTGTTACAAGAATCTTACCAGTGACGTCCTGTCCGGCGGTGTAGTTGGTCTTCTCTGTGCTCACTCTGAAAGGGGACACTGAGGTCTGAGGGATGCTTCCGTGCTGAGGTTCCATACTCACACAGCTCTCAGTCACCTGCCCATGTGAGTAACCCTCGACCCCCAACCCACAGCCTAACAACAGCAGCACCCACAGCACCAGCAGTCCTCTGCCCTTCATGGCTCCACACTGACCGCTCCTGCCCCACATTCTCTCTCAAATACCCCTCGTGTGACCGCATCCAGCCCGGGACAGAGCCGGGTCCTCCCACACACCTGAGCCCCGCCCCTCTGGGACACCTGACTGTTGTGGGAGCAGAGATTAAACACTCACAGGCAGCTAAGCTTTACAAGAAACTCTACTTAATGGTGTAGTGTGACACTTTCCTGGTACAGGTATTTGTCTCCATGGTGATGCTACTAATATGCCTGAAATGTTTCGCAGTGAGGCATTAAATCTATCGCTCCTTCAAGCTGATATTTTTATTGGCTAGGTGCTCTTGAGTGTCTCCTCCTCTGCACTAGTGCTGTCATCATACTAACATTCAAACATGATTATGATACCAAGAATAGACTTGATTCTCAGTACCCATTCCAATACCAAGATGATAATAAAATACACTCTTTATTCAATAATAGAATGTAATTCTCAATATTAGATCATAGTGTTAGAACAGCCCTGGGCTTGTCCAGCTCCGGGGCCACATACGGCCCTATTGGTCGACTCTGACCAGCCTCTATAAGCTCATTTGGAATTACAAAATAAACACATTTTATCATTTGACCTCATGCATGGACAGTCTCACTTTTTCATTGTTTAGTCATAACATAAACTGTTACCAGTCTGAGCAGCTCAGCAATGATATTTACTGCTTTTTTTTTTTTATAAAGAAATAAAATTCATATTATGCAGAAATGAGTAAAGCATTATGGCCTGTCCATTCACAATATTTTCTCTTTCTCATGTGGCCCCATGGAAAAAGAATCACCCATCCCAGTGTTAGAAGATGGTGAACATTTCCAGGTAACAAAGCTGTAATCGTGTGGTGGTGTTAACGTAACTCCACCACACGACTTGTTTATAGATCAAGATTTCCTGAAATTACACTATTACAACATCAACACACAAACTCTATTGTTCTTCTGCTGTGACGCACAATGGGAGTTTCATAAAACCTTAACACATAATAAACAGAACATTGCTACGGCCCAGTTTTATTCCACGCCTCATGGAGCACATCGTCGCTCATGGTTGGGAGCACAGCAAAAGTGGAAGAACAGGTTGTCAGGGTTTGACACAATATTAGAATCATTTGGCTGACTTCAGCCGGAGCAGGGACTCCACACACGCTTCTACGTGCTCCTCCGGGGAATTCCTTAAGGTCCTTTCAATGGAGATGTTACCATTATCTTTGTCTGGAATGTTTCACAGTATGACTTTAAACCTTTCTATCTACATGGAGACCAAACCAGACTAAGTCACAGGTTAGATCTGTGGAGAGGCGACCCCGCTCACAGTCAGAATACCTGTTTTGTTTTTGATTTTTTTTAGGCCTCTTTGAGCTATAAACCCACCTGTAATTGAACAAATATAAGGCAGATCTGTTTAATGTCATACTGTGGAATATTCCAGGCAGAGCAATAATGTATCCATAGAAACAAGCAAGTGATGGACCATCACTTGCATCTTTAACTTAAATGCTTAACTTTAACCTAAACCCAAATGTTTACCTAAACCATAACCCCTTTCCTAACATTAAATCAAAGTTCTTAACCTTTGCTTCTTTTGAACGACCAGATGCAGCAGATCATCCCTCCAGACCCGACATTAACCATGTCAAATCAAAATGACAGATTTTTAATGAAGTTATTTACTGTGTTTAAGTGAAACGAGCCAGAACCTATCACATTTGTCTTTGTTTTTGTGTTGAAAAGCTTTGACGCACAGTGGGAGGAGGCGTCAGGCTCCCATGGGTGCACAGGTGTCAGGTGAGGGCAGGGTGGGGGAGGAGGGAGCGGAAGGGGAGGATGTGTTGGTGATTTGGTGTCATGTTTTTGCTGCAGTGCCATGACTCGGCAGAATGTGCTTATCTTCTTCACACAAAACTGGGTGACATGAAAGTTCCAAAAAGTGTACTCAAGTAAGAGTAGAGATACTCCAAAATATCAAGCAAAATTAAAAGTAGTGAAAGTAAAATAAATAAATAAATAAACAAAAACACTTTTCACTTTGATTGAATCTACAGTACTAAGTAACTGTAAGAGTAACTGTAACATGTGATTTATAATTAAAGTTAATGTCATTTGAAGGACAAAACATTCAGTAATGCACAAATCTGATCTTTTCAAAGCACAGACAGAAAAATTAGACAAACTAAATCATATCTGAAAGTTCCAGTCATTCCATATTGTCACAAAAAGATTTTGTCACTTTAGACTTATTCACAGTGCGAAGAGGAAGCACAATTTTTACTCAAGTAAGAATACTGTTACTGTAAAAGAAATGTACATAATGGAAAGTTTTCTCTCAGTCTGTCTATGTGTAAATGAATGTGGTTTGTAGCTGAGGCCCAGATCAGTACCATGTGTAAAGGCCTTGGTCATGGTCACACAAGTGTCTCCACCCTCAGGAAGCCCTTTGTTGTACTGTCCTCAAATGTAAGTTCAGCTGATTGACACAAGTCCATACGACAAAAGCCACTCAGCTTTGAAATGTATGTACCTTGTATTTCTGTATAAATATTCAGAACTCAGAAGGAGTGACTTGGAAAGGTGACTCAAGAGAGATACTGAAAGGCTGTGGCCCCGTCCATATCCACTAAAACAAAGTGTGTACTCCAAAAACTCACCGGGCCTCACAAATGGATTATTATTCAACATCAGTTTATCATCAGTTATTCCACAGCAGTTTCGCTGTACTACATAATACTCAAGTAAGAGTACTGGTTCACTGTACAGTATATTACTCAAGTAAGAGTACTGTTACACATTACTATCTGTTACTCAAATAAGAGTACTGTTACACTGTACTATATAATACTCAAGTAAGAGTACTGTTACGTTTACATTGTGCGATATAGATTACTCTGGTAGGATACACATGTGGTGTATGAAAAATACTGCAAGAGCAACAATTGTGTAAAAAAGGTACTCAAGTAACAGTTGTTCAGTAAATGTACCCACCTGGGCTTTTGAGGTCAAGGCCACAGTTCTTAAACATTAAACAAAAAATAACCAATCCAAGCAACAAGAGCAACAGGTAGCTCCTGGAGACAGTTCGTGTTTTCACAATAGGCCTACAAAACATTTGAACCTGCTTTCTATGCTAAGGAATAAATCATAGAACATGATTTTCAACATTAAATGGTAGAACTTTCTTTTCTATTCCCATGTGTGTTATATGTGTGTAATGGTCAGTGGTGCAGTAGGTTCATGTTGGTCCATGTGTGTGTACTAGTCTATGTGCTCTGACACTTGTTCTGATACAACTCAACATCATTCTAAAGACATTCAGGAAAGGTTCATTTCTGTCCTGTGAATGGGACTTTTTTTTTTTTTTACTACTGATACCTGCTCAAATGAGTATCAAGTTTGAATTTTAGTTTTAGTTTTAGTTTGATTAGTATATTTTTGATATTTTTGACAACCCCAACCACTTACACTGTACAATATATTACTCGAGTATGGGGTGTCTGTCACCATAGGGACAGGCAGTCATGTGATTAGGTCAGGTAGAACACAGCAGAATGAAGTTTTCCAATGTATTTTTGAACAACAAAAACACCTGTAATGAATAAATACAAGGTTCATTTTACACTGTGTGCACAATTATTTAGCAAGTGGCAATTTGGACCATATCAGGATTTTTTCATTTTCTCCAACTCAACTTGAATCTTATTGGATTTACGTGCATCAGGAAATGTGTTTGTCTGAGGGTGGCTGTGGCTTTGAGTGTGTAAAAATATTGAAATTTTGATATATCATATTGTTTAATGTGATGATACAGTATTGATATCGTGGGCTGCTGTATTGATATATCACTATATTTTTTGGTATATTTTACTACATTTTTTTTTTCTACAGCACTAAAGTTTTTTTGCTTGTTCAGAGGAAGGAAACTCATTCATGCAGCACATTTGACATTTTCATTGTGATGATGACAATGATTAAAATGTTTGTGTTTCATATGAACTTGGAACAATAAGTGGTTTAACTGGTTAAGCCTGGTTAGTGGTTAAGACTTTTAGTGTCACAGCCATGATTTAACCATTATTTTTTTTATTGAACTGTATCAAATTAACTTGAAATATATTGTATCGAATCAAAAGTGCACTGTATCAAAATATGTATCGTGGCCTAGATATCGAGGTATTCTTAATGATACACAGCCCTAGTGTGGTCTGTGGATCAACACACTATATTAAAGTGTGCAGAATTATTAGGCAGCTTCTTTTACTCAGGGAAAATAGGACAAAAACACATTTAACTAACTCTGAAAAGTCAAAAAATTTAATTAAAAAGTCTTTCAGAGGGATGCAGCACTCTTTTTTGCATATATATTGGGGTGTGATCACAGAACCATCAAAAGTTTTGTTGCAAATAGTCAACAGTGTCTCAAGAAATGTGTTGAGAAAAAGATGCTAATAAACTGCAAGAGATTTGAGAAGAATCAAACATGAAGTTACCAGGAACCCATTATCCTCCAGAGCTGCCATAATCCAGGACTGCAACTTACCTGGAGTGCCCAGAAGTACAAGGTGTTCAGTGCTCAGAGACATGGCCAAGAGGAAGGCTGAAACCCAACCACCACTCAGCAAGAAACATGAGCTGAAATGTCAAAGACTTGAGCCAAGAAATATCCAAAGACAGATTTTTCAAAAGTTTTATGGACAGATGAGATGAGATTGAGGCTTGATGGAGCAGATGGATGGGCACAGAGCTCCACTTCAACACCAGTAATGTGGAGGTGGGTACTGGTATGGGCTGGTATTATTAAAGATGAGCTTGTTGGACCTTTTCAGGTTGAAGATGGTATCATAAAAAAACCCTAAATCTACTGTCAGTTTTATAAGACACTTTAAGGAAAAGTCTGCATCTTTCAAGTGATTGTCATGATTTTTACGCAAAGTCCTCCACTGCATGGCTGCCAGCAAAGACCTTAAAGATTAAAAAAATAATGACATGTGCCTCTTCCTCACCTAACCTAAACTCTATCGAGAACTTGTGGGCCCTTCTT